TCGAACCCGCCACCTTAGGTGTACGTGGCTGGCGCCTTAGCCGGTTGAGCTATAGGCGCTGAGCCGGAAGTCTTACATTTTATCTTAAAACTCTACGCTGTCAGAATTTAGTACTGTTTTCCATTAGGGAAGTTTTCATCCATTTCTTAATCCTAAAGTACTCCTAATTCTTATTGCTGATTAATTAACTAGAATATCATTTATTTTTGTCTTTATTAGATTCTTTTTCCAGGGGTACATTTTATAACATAACGTAAAGAAAAGGCTCACCTATGGCTTTCTTCCCATGCACTCCCCTTTTTTCCCTAGGAGGCTAAGTTTGGATGCCCAGCAGGAGATAAGCCTTTTGTCACCTTTGTCAAAAGCTCCGTATGCATGAAGTGAGCGGCAGTGCCTGGAGAACCAGGCATTCTGGCAACAGTTCTGACTTTGGCAATAATCTGGATGAACTGCTCTCTGCTAAATTATTAATTCACATAAGCAGTCGGTATTTCTCACATTTGCCTACCCTCAGACCTGTGGCAATACAGACAAGTTTTTAGTTCTTTTATTATTCACTTAGATTTATCCTGAAGATGTTGTCATCTTATTCTATTTCCATACATGCACAGGTATAACTTCTTATAGTTTATAGTAAGAGAATGGTCCAGAAAAGTCCACTGAGAAGCCCAAATGTTTGAAAGGAAATTATTCCAGAGAGATAAAAATGATTAAAACTTAATTATGCTCATTTGCAGTAAAAATATTCTGAGAGTAGCAATGCTCAGTTTTACCTTTTTTAATGTAACAGTGATGTTAGGTGATGTGACCCGGCAGGGAATGACGAGCGCCCTTCCTTCAGTCATGTATATGACTTCAGGTATTTCACTGTACATCTCTACAAAAGGTCTACCTGTATCTGAATGAGAAAAAAACGAAATATATATACATGAACAATTGAAATATAAGCATGCAGACGTTGCCGCTGGCGCAGTAATATGGACACTGCCACAGTTACCCGTCCTCCCCTTAGTGGAATCCACAAATCCACATTCTTTGTTTCTGAATTTGGCCCTCTGTGTTTCTGCTCAGAAAAAGAATAAACTGGATTTCTTGTTCAGTTCTCGGCCTTCGATCAGATTGCCCTGATGCTCTAATAGGCAACTGTGACAAGTGCAGTCAGAGAGAAAGGAGAATATTTTGCATAAACTTTTTACCACAGCTATGCTAAGTGTTCCGGGAGGCGCCCTCCAGCGCCTTTGTAAGAGCTCAAAGGACCTAGATGCAGTGGTGACAGTCAACAACCTCCGGAGAGTTAGAGGTGATGCAGAAGGGCAGCCAGCTGGGCAGGGGATTGTCATTTAAATGACAGAAGCAGGACTTAAAGGTTCTCTAGGCCTTTCCAGGCAACAAATAATAATAAGATCTGAGCTGTTTAGGGGGGTGGGGAGCGGCAGGAGAAGTAGTGTTGAATATATTTCACGTGCATATGAGGTCTGTTTCTTTCGTATGCCCTTCTCATCGACTAACAGCAAAGTATGTGTGAGCGCCTGCAGAGAGGTCTGGAAAAGGCTTTAAATAATCATTAAATACCTCCTTAAAAAGTGTGGCACCTGGCCAGTCTCAGAGTAGGATTCAAACCACTGTTCAGCTTCCCCGTAATTCTCCAGGAAAGCAGAAGGAGTGTGAGAGCCTTTTAAAACATTCTCCCAGTCTACCCTGTCCCAGTTGTCAGGACTCCATTGACATCCTCGGGCAATGATCTGTTCAGTATCTTTGGGTTCTGATGTTCCCCCATTCCCTTGGCTCCAGCCTCTTATGCTCAAGTGGAAAGGAATCCTGCGAACTCTTTCCATCTAGACATGAAAGAACCAGCGAGGCTTCCACACCTCCACCAGCTTGCTGGTCCTCTTTCAGATCTCTGGTTAGGAAGCTCACTCTGGGTGCTGGAGAATGACTCCATTCTGAGTGGAGAATGATTTTAAAGAGAAACAAAAGCCATGAGCAGGCAATGGTTGCCCAAACTAGATAGTGGCTACAGTGATTTTCTGGATGGAATTTGTTCTCCCTCAGGAGACACGCTGAAGTCCCCCTGTACTTGTGCATGTGACCTCATCTGTAAGGAGGGTTGTTACCAATGTAATTACTTAGCTAAGTAAGAATGGGCCTCTAATCCTCTAGGATTGGCTTCTTTGTAGGACAGCCCTGTGTAGATAGTATACAAGCTGTACAGACTTAGGCGACATGAAGACGGGCGGAGACTGGTGTGATGCAGCTCCAAGTCCAGGCTTTCTGAGTATTGCGGACAACACCAGAATGAAGGAAAAGGCAAGGGAGGAGTTCCCTGCAGATATCAGAGGGGCGTGGCCCTGCTCACACCTTGATTTCAGTACTCTAAGACAATAAATTCCTGTAATTTCAAGCCCCAAAAGAAAAAAAAAAAAAAAAAAAACTGTGGGCATTGCTGTAGCCTGCCACAGATGGGATCGTCTGCCCGCAGCAGTGTGGGATGGAGGCACAGATGTGAGAACTAGAGAGGGCCCTAGAGAGACCTTTCACCGCCCGGCTCACAGCCCAAGCCCCTGTTTATACACTCACTTTGTCCTCTGGGAGGTCTTAGCAAGCCCTCTTCCTTCCTGTATCCTTCTCTACCCTGGCCCACCCCAGGGACTCTCCCTGCACCCCCAGGGGTCCTGTTACAACAGCAAATGCTGAACTGGCAGTTTATTTCTCTGGGTATTCCTCGGATGATGAATTCCTAGAGGAGATAAAAGGATCGTATTCTTCCCTGTCTCTAGTGTACGGAATGAATGAATTTGTGAATAGCTATCCAGCCCTATCATTTTACAGATGAGAAGAGAGGTGTAAACGAATGATGTGAGTTGTCTGGATGACAGAGCCAGGCCTGGCAGTTAATCTCTCCTGCTCCAATCCAGGGCTCCTTCCCCAGGGGCTGAATCTCTGGCTGCCTGCTCCGGAAGGGCTGCAGGTGACAATGGTTTATGTGGATGGAGGCTGATTTTCACATGTTCAGTCAGGAAAGTTAAGTGCCCTGCCATAGTGTATGGTGTTAGAGAAATTGTGAAAAGGAGACGAACATCAGAGGATGGGGTTGTGAGAGGAAGGCAACACGTCACGGGGATTAATCAGAGGACACGCTCACAGCCTGGGTTTGAATCTTGGTTCTCATCCTTTGTAGCTAGGAGACTTTGAGCAAATAAAGCATTTTACCCCCTGTGACTCATCTGCAAAATCTATGTCAAAGGAATATTATAAGGATCATGTGAATTAAATGTATGTAAAGCACTTAAAATAGTAACTGGCCTTCTTTAGTCCTATGTATTAGCTGTTAATTTTCTTTTTTTAATTATTATTATTATCAGACACTTGAACTTATGGAGGTAGGGTGGGTAGGTATGAAAATCACAAATTAACTCATCATCTTAACTATAAAAAGTATAAATACGTATTTATATAAATGGCATAGAAAAAAAGATTGGAAACAAATACATTAAATTGTTAACAATGATTATCTTCAAGTAGCAGCTTTATAGGTTATTAATGTTTCTTATTTACTTTCTGTATTTGTCAGTCTTTTTAGAATGCTCATGCATTATTTTATCACAGTATTTTAATTTTTTTTTCTTTTTTTTTTTTTATTGAACGGTAACTATGTACATTAATGCACTTCTGGGGTACAGTGTGGGGTTTTCACATGCAATCTGAAATACTTCCATCAACTGGTCAACACAGCCTTCATGTCATTTTCTCAGTTATTGCTTTAAAACATTCACATTCTACTCTTAGAAAGATTCACCTGTACCCCTATAAAGTATTTTAATTTTTAAAGTCAAAATCAAATTATAAAGTAGCATTCCTTTTTCTTGAAGGTAAACTATACATTTTGCATTTGATGTACTTTAGATTTGTCTTCTATGCTTGAATGAGACATTAACTGTCACAGTGAATAAAGTTATATGTATATTTATTAGAAAATCTCAATAGGTGTAGTAACATATGCAGAGAGGAAAAGTTAATTATACAGAGACAAGGGTTCCTTATCAGCATTAAATTCCTTCTTTAAATAAAGTTGCTGAGCTAGTCATTCAGCCCGGGACTATTGGGATTTGATCATTCCTTTCCTTCCTCCTATGAGTCTTTTTTTTTTTTTTTTTGTCTCCTTTGTGAGTCCCAAGGTAAACACAAACACCAGGAAATGGTTTAATTCATTTAACTAAACTATAAATCCTTCATACTTAATTTACTGTCTCCTTAAGAAACAATTTCAACAAAAGACACTGGCATGAAAAGTTCCTACAGGAAATAGTAAACATTAGTGTAGTCATTTCTGGACTAATGAATGCCAAACCCACATGAGAACAGAAGAGGCTAATTCAATATGCCTTTGAATTTCTTCTTTCCCTTTGTTATTTTAGATCCCACAAACTCTTAAATTTTGCGATAGCTATTGGCCTTTAAAAGTCAGTACCAATTTCATCACAGGACCCCCTGAAATTCTGTTCAAAGATGTCAGAACTTCAGTGATTCCTGTCCATCCAATACAATTTAAAACATATAGTTTGGGACAGTCAGAATAGGCATTATAAAAATCCATTGTGTTTGCAAATGAACTTGTGTGCATAGACACACACACACAGCGTCCTCTCTGGGCATATTAATAGTATATTTCCTCTGCAATCTTATTCAAGGAAGGGCTAAGAATTAAGTTGCCTGACATATTATAATATAAACACATTTTGTTTTGTAGGGCCATAGATACAGAAGAGGTCATGGATCCATTAATATCACCAGTAAAACTACTAACTACTCCCATAGGGGACATTTATCTTTGTCACAAAATTAAAAATGACTTCCAAACCGAGCCAGCACTGCAGAGTGGTTTCCTGAGACCAAATTGGCTGGTTGTTGAAAGAGTGAGGAAGAAGCTGCTCCCAAGCCGGCCGGTGTCCTGGCAGCGCAGACACACTGTCACCAGGGCCTCATGCCAGCACATAGTTAGGTGGGGGTCGCGCTGCCTTCACCTCTCTGAACTCTCAGCTCAAAGCAGTGACAGGAAACTGGCACAGAATATGAGGTTTTCTCACCCAGAGGGAGTGACCGGGCTGTCACTTATCCCTCAGAACAGCAAGCCGGCTTGGGCACAGGGAAAGATCAAACGAGGACCCTTGCTCAGAGTGGAATTATGTCTATTTTTTAAAGGTGTTTTTTCCTTTGGAAATCTGTGCTCATGCCGGCACTGTAAGGGCACAGACACAAAGGCCCCACGTGCCATCCTCTGTCTACTCCGCTTCCAGCTGGCGTTACCTGGGAGTACTTCCGCTGGGCTGAGAGTAAGTCAATGATCCCCAAAATTTAGGGAGCGTTTTTTATTTGAGGAGAGGTTCAAGAGTGAACACTTTGTTTTCTAGTACATGTACATTTTTATGATTTTTATCAACGTTTTCCTGATTTCTTTTCCTTTTAATTTCAATTTTCTTACCATTAAGTCCTGCTCATGAGGACTCCTAATTATTTTCAAAAGGATATGATTTTTATTTATTGAAGATGAAGTAGAAAGGATGAGAAACCAACCAATCCCATGAAGAGGGCCCTATCTAGACTTGAGTTTTCACATCATGCTCATGGAATATTCTCTAGGATAGACCACAAAATAAACCTCTATAACTTTAAAAGGATATAAATAATACAAACTATATTGTGTGATTACAGTGTAATGAAATTAGAAGTCAATGCCAGGGAGAAATTTGAGAAATTGAAAAATATGTGAAAATTAAATAACACACTCTTTAATAACTAATGGGTCAAAGAAGGAATCAAAAGAGAAATTAGAAAATACTTTGGAATGAATGGAAATGAAGACACAACTTACCAAAACTTACAGGATGAAGCAGAAATAGT